AATCTATATTGTTATGCCACATGTTCTGCACATCAAACATCTACTACCCTCAGAGTGGGTTGCAAACCCAGTGTGGCCCTTAGTCTTTGGGGGTGGGCTCCACTACAGCTATGAGTCATAGCTCTCAGTAAGATCATGCATTTTTGTCAACAAGGCCGTGTGTTTGTGTGTGTGTGAGTGTTTCTGTACATGCATCCACAGCTGGCCTTGTCTAAATGAATATTAATGATAATATCTGCCCACCAGCATGTCTGAAGTTCCCCAGTTGATATGTTATATTGTTCTTCATAGCAGGTTGTGTTGCAGCCCAACAGCAAAAAAACTAGTTTTGTCATTTTTACTTTGTGTGTCACACAAACAAGATGCAGCATTTTAATTGTGAGCTTTAGTGTTGCTGGTCCAGGGACAGGTAGCCAAACACAGGCTTTATTCAAATGAGCTATAATTAATATCTTACAATAACCAATACAAATGGCAATTTGACAGTGATGTGACATAGTGAGAGGCGTGGCCCATAGTGTTACGCTTACAGACATTTATCCTGACATTCAGCTCTGACTCCTCAAATCACAGTTTTGATTCACTCTACACTACAAAGTGAGGAAAGCCGTTGTTCACTATCTGCTCAGCAGCAAACAGTAGAGAGTGGAGCATGTAGCAATTTGGCCAGAGCACATGAACTCAACTGTATTTGTATAGAGATGCTGCTATGTAACAGCTGGATGTGTAAGCTAACAAATTAGTGACATCACAACCTCGTTACATACACTCTGTGGTCACAACGTGGTTCTACTTCACCCAAGTGAAGTCAAGAAAGCAAATGTCCCAAAGTGTTGAACTGTTCCTGCAAACGAGCACGAAGCGTGAAGGAGGCTCAAACCCAGACGACTGTTTGAAACTTTTAGTTTGAGAAAAAACGAACCTCAACTTGTTACTGGCAAGAAAATGTCGCTCTGCCTCAGTAACTCAGTTTCTGAAACAGGAAAAACCTTATTCCTGGCCCACCACCTTAAATCCAAATTTCAGAAAGCTATCCTGCAGAGATGAGTGGACAAACCGAGCATGTGGGGAAGCATTTGATTGCTGCAAAATGTACTTCACAATGGTTGACCTTAACTAATGATTTGAATTGAATCAGTGTTAAATACTACCCTGTGTGGGGCTGGCTCCTCCAATGAACCATATCATTCTGCTCAATGCTGTAATTTAGTTTATTATTATTATTAAATCCTCAATGTGTTAATTCACTGGTGTGACATGACGACGGCTCGCCGGTATTCTCTGTAGGTACAGGAATGTTTGAGCTTTTAGCCGCTATGATGAGCTGAAGGTAAGATATGCCCACCACTCTCTTATGGTGGGCATATCATTTTAAAATAACCACCAAATTAGGGCAACTCTGAATAATTCTGATTAATCTTCTTAATCAAGTATTATCTTGAAAATGCCTCCTAACTTTAAAGAAGAGATTTAAGAGGATTTCATAAGCCATCGCCATCGACTGGTGACCTAATTCAGTTCTCTTCTGAAATCCACTTTACTTAGACCTACAGCCAATGGATTCATGATTAGCTGGTAATTTTTGAACTAGAATTACAGCCTCACAGTTGTATGACTCTTCCAACCAGTCAAGTTGTAGTCTACATGTGTCTTTCCAAAACCATATAACACACTGAAGTCATTAAAAGATGTTGTTAAGTATGTATCTTGTCATAATTTATGTTTGAATGCTCGAGTTATGGCCAAATATGTGTTTTGTGAGGTCACAGGGATCTTGATCTTTGACCATCAAAATCTGATCAGTTTTTCCTTGTGTTCAAGTGGGTATTTGTGCCAAATGTAAAGAACGTCTCTCCAGCTGTTCCTGAGATATCGTGAGATTTTGAAGTAATTTAACAAAAGTACAATCATAGATATGTAATGTTATAATAATAATAATAATAATGTAATAAGGTATGTTGTGTATTTTGACATATTTAAACATGATTCCTGTTTCCAAAATAATGTTTTTTGTGAGATCATACTAACCTTGACATTTGGCCAAACTCTTATCAGCACAGCTTTGAGTCCAAATGAACATTTCTGACAGATGTAGTGGGTTTTCCTCAGGGCATTTGTTATAAATCGCAAGACAGTACTTGACATTAGGTGACCAAAATCTTTCCAGTTCATGCTTCAAATTTGAATTGACACTGAGATATTTTGTTCTTATAAATTGGATGTATGAAAAATAGGAATAGGAAAAATATCTGAAAAGATAATTCCAGCTGCCACAGCTGTTGCTGGCATGGAGGCATACAGATATCCATGTTGACATGTTCAGGAGAGTTGCACTTCATCAGCAGAGACTATTGCTGCTGGAAGTAGAGGAAGATAACTTATACACTTTCAGAGAATAAATAGACAGCTGAAAAATACAAAATCTCTTCATTAGAGTAACTTGTCACATCCTGGTACCCACAATGCAACGTTACCATCAACAATTCAGAGATCTGGCTGTGTTATGGCAGTTGCATGTCTCTTACACCATTCTCCACCACTGGTTTTAAAAATCCCCTTCACTACGAGAAACAGTCTCCAAGCTAGCTGCCTTCAGACTGAAAATGCAATCAAACAGTCCACTGTTAACTGAAGGCAAGTAGGTATATCAATGACCAACACTGATTCAAGTAGCACTAATATAGTAGTAATAGAAACATTTCTCTGGAGACACTAAAGGCTACAACTTTTTTTCACATATGCAGTTTTCCACCTAGAAACCAACTTGATGTATAAAATCACTTCTCTTTTAAACAATTACTTCTACATTTGAAACTTGAATTAACTCAGAATCAAGACACAGTGATGGATTCTATGAAATTCTTGTTGATGTACATTTTTAGTTTAAGCACATCAATAAAATAGCAGTCATCACAATTATGGTTGTACTGTAGTATAAGGTCACCCAATTAACCTCAATGAGCTGCTTCATGAACACAGGCCGAATAGATGTGACAAATAGATATTATGAGTGAATTGAAGTATCTTCCAGGTGAAGACTGACTGTGAAGGTTAACACATGATGTAGCACCAAGTGCAGGACATAAACCTGCTGGTCAGGGCAGCTGAGTGAAACATGTCAAGGTCACAGAGCTATCGCAGGGTGTCATGAAAGTGAATAAAATAATTCACCACGCTGTATATAGGCTGATGTATGAGTACATCACAATATCGCTGTGGTTGAAAAAGACTTTAATTCAGTGCCTGGGAGAAACAGTACAGCACATATTGTTATAAAAATGGACATCCACAGGTTCTGTCAACACATCAGTAGCTCTAAGCCCGAGTTAGTCTCTGGAATTCATCGCATCGCTACTGAGGAAAAACACAACTGCCTGGGTTTTCTTGACCCTAACTGTTGGAGTGATTTCCGTCACACCTAAGATTAGCCACAAACTAATCATCTCCAGCTTACTCACTGGTTCTCTGGTTTTTAGAAAGTGGGAAAATAATCATTTTTAGTTTATTCATTACAGTAGTGTTTGTCAAACAAGGTCATTTGAATTTAGGGTGATGTAAAAGCATCTGCAGGAGCAAAGATGACAGTCATTTACTGGTAGAATAGTGTGTACAAAGAAAGTGGTTGACTTTATGAGTCCATTCTCGGTTGTGTCTGATCAGAGGCTCTTCTGAAAAAAAACTGTTCTGTGCTGTGTAGAATATAAATGTGGGTATTTAGCATTTTTTATTTTTCCTAATCTTTTTTTTTTGTTCTTACATAACTTCATTTAAAAATAAATATCTATTATCTTCTTTAAATTCAAAATAGTCCTTAAATGTTTGCTGTACCCCATCATAACCCACAATTCTAAAATGAAATAGTAAAAAAAGGACATGATCCATCCCTAAAAAAAAAACTGAATGGATATAGCATATTTTTTGAAACAGTTCAAAAGTTAAAACATTGATAACGTCAAATAAAACAAAAAAGAACATACAACAAACATGTAATATACAGAATTTTAAAAAATGGATACAATTTGAGAATGTGTTTAGCTTCGCCGCTGTGGTTCCGCCCCTCAAAGAAGAATATTTGCCAGTGCCCTGAAGAAAAACGGACCAACCCCCCTCTGTTCGAACCATCTCTTTGGCGTTTATGGAGGGGGAGGAGCAGACAATGCAAAGCGTCTCTGCCAAGCAAAAAGCGGCAGGGCCAGTTCACTGGACGCTGTGTGATCACAAGGAATGTGATCAGGGAATTAAATACATGTCTGCTCGGAGAGCAAAACTGTGTTTAACTAGGGCCCGGAAACAAAAAGAGAAAAAAGGAGGATGGACGGGATTTATTTTTTGGAGTGTGATATGAAGGCGTTCTCAATGCAGAGGACGATATAAGAGCCGGAGCAGCTGCTGGAGGTTTGCTGCAGGAGGTGGCCGCTCTGTAATGATGATGCCAGACCAGTAACAGCGTGGTCGCCTGCTCGCCATGTTTCACAGTAGTGGTCTGTTTGCCTGTGGCCTTTGTTGCTCGATCCATGCCAGACCATTTTCTCAGGCCTGTAGCAAAGCAAAAACAAGAACAGCTCAGAAAACTACAGATCCATTATTTCTTTCCTACAAATTCAAAACCAGATGAATAGGAGATTTGGGCTCATACTAGATTAAAAGCTACAGGATGCTGCATTGATCTTTTGACAGACTCACCATGCACTGTCCCTGATGATATCTCTACCATCGAACGAGTAGATTGGTACATTCTCCCTCATTTTGCTCGCATTGTCTCCAAAGATTGACTCCCAACTGCTGAACAACACTTGGTCCTGAAAGGAGGAGAAGATAATGTTGAGAATGACATTTCTTCTTTATACTGTGATCTTCATGAAGAGGCAAGATACAGAGAACAAAGTTTGTTTCGAAAACCGTGAAAACAGAACAGTAACAATTACATGACATTCACTTCAATTTCTATAAAACCTCAAAATAAAGAGGTACAGTTTAACTTAAAGGTTCAGTGTGTAGAACATAGAGACATCTAGTGGTGGAGTTGCATGTTGCAGCTGGATACCCCCTCACTTCACCCTCCCCTTCTAAACCTGTGGTAACCTTCAGTTTTCATAAAAACTCAAAGGGTTTTAGTTTGTGCAGTTTGGGCTACTGTAAAAAAAATGTTGGTCTCTGTGGACAGGACCCGCTCATGATGTCTCTGACCTTAGCAGCAGTATCTCACCTTGAGGTTCAAGATGGGGAGGCTGTCCCTGTCCGACCTGCGGACGATGGTGTAGAGGTCTTGAAGCTTGGAGGACAGGAACGCTCTGAAGGTTCCCTTCAGGCCCACAGCACGAGCCTGCTGGAAGCACAGGAAGTCTGCCCCGCGGATCCCTCGCATGTTACCAGTCTGAGGGGCGTTCAAGGCGATGATGTGTAGCTGTTGAAGACAGGAAGAAGGTTTATGTAAGAATAGCAGCTCTTCCCCCTGCTCTTCTTACAGATCAAAATAAGGCAAATTATTTTAATAAAGTAAGTTCATGTAATTATATCCAGGAGATCCAGTCCTCTTTGAGCACTATGAAATAGATTGACAGACTAGTAGTAGACAGAAATCACTGAGCCTCAAAGGTCAAGTATTTGACGCTCCAAAGTATCCTGGATCTAAGTAACAAACTCCATAGTGAAGTGACTCATGTCTGTACATTATACTGGTGAGTTCTCCTGGTCCAGATCTACTCACTCCTGATGCGTCCACATGGGCAGGCTGTGGAAGAGGCGGGCTTGGTCGTCTCTGTGGAGTGACTGGGTATCTGTTCCCAGTGTTCTGGGTGGCTAATCTTCCATCTGTCTGACCCGTTTGTCTAGGGTCTGGGAACCTGGGATCGTACTGTGGGGGGTATACAGGCTCTACGGGCGGTTGCGGTGGAGGCTCAATGGGACGTATGGCAGTGTCGCTCTTGGAGTAATGGCCAGCTCCGTTGTTGTGGGACTGGTCCTGGGACTGAGGGTACAGGATTACAGGCGGTGGCTGGACCTCTGCCACCTCGTTCTCCTATAAATAAAAAACAGATTTATTTTTAAAAAGATGGTCAAACAATCAGTGAACAACAGAAGATAAAATCTGTTTTTTTCTATTTTGTTCTTTTGTGGAGTTTAACTCACCAGATCTCTGAAGAATGGTCGGTACTCTCCGAGCTGAGGGGTAAAAAAAAGTTATTAGGCAAGAGAACACTTTGTTACTCACCTCAAGTCACAAGTAATTAATTGTCTGGTAGTATGCTGGAAATAGTCTCTCTATATAGAGTGTCTTTATGTATTTATTTAAAGAAACACATAACTTAAACAAGACATTTGCCCTGAATGTATTTTACAATAAACTATCTGCAGAGAAGGAGAAACAATGGAACAAGGTGGTGCACTAGAGGAAATCTTCAAGGCCAGTCGAGGCCTACTTATTTTAAGAACTTAAGGCATTGAATCTTAAACCTTCAATAATAAATATTTAGACAGTAGTAAAATTTGAGTTACATTAAATAACAACAAATAGAGACACATAACATTGAATTGAAGTCGAATATACACACAAATCTTGAAAAATGAGTCATTGCTGAAAGTTAAGCTCTTTGGTGCATCAATAGTTTTAAACCCTGTCATGAACTATATGATACAATTCAGAGCATTCATATTTCCAGAGGTAAAAAACAGATGTGTAGCTGTACCATGACTTGCCGCACTCCATCTCGTACTCTTAAATACAGGTCTGATTTGTCGATGATGTAGATGAGGCTGCCCTCTGCCTGGCGTCTGGCTGAAGCAATCATTGTGTCGTATGACCTCAAAACTGTGACCTGTGGAAAATAGATAAGGAGATCAAATTTAGTGTTTGTAATAAAAATACAGCATCTTATCAAAGACAGATAAGATACCAACTGGGCCACTGATCTGTATGAATTGTATGTGATTTGTTGGCCTGAACTTATTGACAGTGTCCGCTGTGAAGTCACAATTAATGACAGAATTATTAAAAAGCATTGATGGTACTTACACCAGAGGAGGAGCCAGGATTTCCAGGTGGGCCAGGAGGACCAGGGGGTCCAGGGACACTGACGGCTTCACATTAAAACAAAAGCTTGTTAAAGTTTTGACTTGTGAAAAGCTCCAGTGGTCAACAGAAAATGTGCAGCAGCAGTAACTGAAGGAGGCTCCATACTCTATAGACGCTGTATTCATCTTTGAAGGCACTAAAATGTCCTCATGTGTGAACTGTATAAATATCTTGAATTTCTCAACTTACAGTGATTGGGCCTATATGGTCCAGGGAGCGAGGCTGTGGGCCCTGGAGGTCCAGGTGGTCCTGGAGGACCTGGACGTCCATCGTAACCAATGCCTGGTGACCCTGGTGGTCCCTGGGGCCCAGAGGGGCCTATTATGGAATCTCCCTTGGGACCCTTAGATACAAAGAGGAAAATCTACTTTACTGGAACAGTACAGGCACTTTCTTCTTTGGTGCTGGAACATTCCCAGCAACTTTCCCAGTTGTGGACTCATAAAGGATTATCTTATCTTATTTAATCTTACCTTATCTTATTTTTTAACACAACCCACACATTAAAACAGGCAACTTTTGATTTTCCTATGTGTGATAACTGATCATGTTAATTTTGGACTTTAAATACTTATTATAAATGTATAACAGGAGGCCTGAATGAATGAGGGTTCATTCCTGACAGACATTTCACCCTCAGAACTGACCGGTAGGCCCGGTTTGCCAGGAGGCCCTGGTGAGCCCTGCACTCCTCCAAAACGTGGGTCATAGTAACCACCAGCAGGCTCTCCTTTTTCTCCCTTCACGCCTGGATCTCCAGTCTCTCCCTTCAGCTCATTCTGTTGGGAACAGTTTTAACATTAGGATGAGTTTCCGTCTTACAGTACATCCATTATACTGTAGCAATAAGGGAGTTTACCTTGAATGTGTAAATATCAAAATTAGAAGCTGTTCCTAGAAAAAAAGACACACAACAGACATTTTAGTACAAACACTTCACTTAAAAGCAATCCTGCAGTAGAGAGGATTTGTATGACACTGTGTTCACCTGGGATTCCTGGAACTCCTCTGTCACCACGTTCTCCTTTTTCCCCTTTAACTACAACAACAAAACATGTAACACTGTTAGACGCAGTATCCCACAGGTGTGTCTGACATCAACATCGCAACACTGTGGTGCCCTGACTAACCGATAGTGACGTCTATGTTTTATCGGTTCATGCTCCAAGTGTGGTAAGACTTGACAGTCTAATCTCTTGACAATACAGCGTATATCCTCTTCAGGCTGAGGCAGCTGGATCAAACCAAAGTTAAGATAGAGCTGTTTATCTCTCACAGACACTTCCAATCTTTTCTAAGTCTCTCTTCCTTATGTCTTATTCTTCTTTAATTCTCCACTGTGATCCATCTCTGTCTTGCAGCATTATGTATTTGGTGCGTGTGTGTGTGTGTGTGTGTGTGTGTGTGTGT